CTTACGTGTATACCTGACGCTGTATACCTGATGTCATGGGCGATATTCTAATAACACATCTTTCTTTACTATATTGTAGGACGTAGGTAGAAATATAGATACATAAAAGAACACAAGTTTGTCACTGCATCTTTCTGCTTGTTTGCTTAAAGAAGGTAGATTTCCAGGGGGGCGCTGAGTAATTTTTTTTCTGAAAAGGGGGCGGTAGGCCGAATAAGTTTGGGAACCTCTGCCCTAGCTTAACACTCTCAGGGTACATGGGGCAGTTGTGAAGTGTGAAATGCACAGACAGGCTTCAGTAGCTCACCTTATCTTGGGAGTCATTGCAGGGTCTGTGCTTTGGAAGGCAGGGGTCCCTCTGCCCCATCAGGCTCCTACACGCAGCTGATCTCAGCTCTGCTGGGGCTGATAAGAATCATAGAACTGTAGAGCTGGAAGGGACTTTGAGAGGGGACACACACATGCCCCTCCCTCCCTCCCTCCCTCTCTCCCTGTGCTGAGGCAAGCAAGACCAAGCACACAGAATGGCTGATGAGGATGAGAGGTCAGCTCCTGCCCTTTCATAATCTTCCAGATCCTCTGTCTTATAAGCTAATAGGTAAGAATGTGATTCCAACCCCTCCCCAACAGGTCAGACCCAACTAGTCCCTCTGGGCAGGGGCCAGCCTTTGCTCTAGAATTGCTATATTTCAGTGGTCAGATACTTAAGTCATTAACTCTCTTTGCTAGTCCTTTTCGTTGTAACTCATCCACTCCCAGTCTTTATTCAGGCCTAATTTGATGGTGTCCAGTTTGCAGATTAATTCCAGTTCTGCAATTTCTCGTTGGAGTCTGGTTTTGAAGTTTTTTTGTTGTCACAAAAACTAATTTCCCCCTACTGTTACTCACGCCTTCTTGTCAGTGCCTGACACAACAGGGCCCTGATAGTGTTGCCAACCATCAAGGATTGGCCTGGAGTCTCCCAGAATCAGCATTGATCTCCTGGTCACTACTGAAAGCAATCCAATAGGATATTTTTAGAAAATGACATTACGTCATGTTGGGCGGGCGGGGGGAATCTCCCAGAATATCTTCAGTCAGAGTCAGCAACCCTAGGCCCCGATCTCAGTTGGAGTGGGGAGTGTCTCTCCCTGTGTGTCTGTGCATCGCCCGGCACAAGGGGGCCCTGATCTCAGCTGGGGCAAGGCCTGTCTCTCGCTGTGTGTCTGTGCAGCGCCCGGCACAATGGGGCTCTGATCTCAGGGCCTATATCCCACTTCGCAATATTACCAGTAAATAAATACAAAGCTGGAAAGCAACACAATGTTTTCACAAGTTTACTTCCCCATAGAAGTGACCGTGCTTCGGATCCAGCCAGGACACACAGACGGGGTCTGCAACAAGGAAAAGGCGCTGCAGCCTGTAAAGGGTTAACTGGTCACATGGCTAGTTGGGGCAGCATATAAAATGAAGCTGGGTTAAAGGGGAACAAAGTGGGGGTGGAAGTGGAGGTTCCCTGGGAATGGGGGCAGGGAGATAGGAAGGAATTGTGAAGGGAGGTTCTGAGACTTAGCACATTTGTGGGGGAGGGGCTCCAGGCTGGGAGGGTTGGTCCCTACGGGCTCCCAGGCCCATTCCAGCCTCCTTGATCCCACTCTTGTCCCCCACCCCCCAAGCTGTGCGCCCGCTGTGCAAGGTTGCAATATTTCCATTGCGGGGGCACTAGCTCCCCGGCTTTGCCAACCCTGGAGGGAGGGGTGTGTCCTCTTTATTCCTGGGGGGCTGGAGTGGGGAAAACCTCTGGCCATTGTGGCCCAGCGGGTGGATTTGCTTTTCTTTAATGGACAATAAAACCATTGATGTCAAAGGGGCAGATGTCCATCAGCTGGGGGTCTGGTCCCCTTGTCTCCGGTGGAGCTATGGCTGATTCCCGACAGCAGGGGCTCTGGCCCCAGGTGTGCAGCCATCTACATGAGTAAAGCTGAAAATACTGTAGATGTTTCAGACAATGAAGGCCTTTTTCTGTCCCGATCAGTCGTGCCGCAGCTATAGCAGGAACGCTGCTTTCTGGCAGAGCCATTTTAATTCACTGCTGCAGATGTCAAAATCAATCTTATTCTTTATTAACATTCCACAGTTGCTCTCTGCACCCTGACTTGATTCTGGGAGTCGCCTGTGGAATGAAGCAGAAAGTCCCTGTCAGTTTGTTTCTGTTGATTAAAGAGCCGGTAGAAGCTCTTCCTCGTGGGGTGTCAGGTTGTGGTTCCTTCTTTCATCTCTGTATTCCCCCCCCCCACACACACACACAGCCCCATTGTGGGAAATGGGTTGGTCAGACGGGGTCCTGGAGAACCCGTGTCCGTGTTACCAAACCTTAAGCAACACGACCCCATTACGCCCGTCTTGGTGCCCCCCCGGGGCAGTCAGCTCTGCAGCACACCCTGTGTAGCTCTGTGCCTAAGAGAGACAACCTGGTCCTGAAAGTGAAGTTACAGCCCTGCTGCTCGAGCCCTGACCACTTCAGTTAACAACCCAGGGCCTGTCTACACAGGAACTGGAACGGAAATAAGGATATTTGTTGTCATTCACACCTTGCCGCAAGTCTGCCTGGGGGCCCTTTTATTGAGGACTAAGAGGGCCCTCCTAGAATTTAGCTTAAATCAGTAAATTACTGCTCTGTTTTTAGAACAGGAGTACTTGTGGCACCTTAGAGACTAACAAATTTATTTGAGCATAAGCTTTCGTGGGCTACAGCCCACTTCTTCGGATGCATAGAATGGAACATGTAGTGAGGAGATATATATACATACAGAGAGCATAAACAGGTGGGAGTTGTCCTACCAACTCTAAGAGGCCAATTGATTGAGAGAAAAAACATTTGTAGTGATAATCAAGATAGCCCATTACAGACAGGTTGACAAGAGGTGTGAGAATACTTAACATGGGGAAATCTTGATTATCATTACAAAAGTTTTTTCTCTTAATTAATTAGCCTCTTAGAGTTGGTATATGTGTATATATATCTCCTTACTATATGTTCATTCAATCTATTTCCCCGTGTTAAGTATTCTCACATCTCTTGTCAAATTGTCTGTAATGGGCTATTTTGTTTCTTCTCTGTCCCTTCCCTTGTGCATCTGTCAAGCCTTTAGTCTAGAGAGCAACAGGCGAGTTCTGCAAATTGTGTGCACGCCCACTGGGCACCCAGAGCCTTTATTTACCTGAGTAAAGGATGAGCGGTCAGCTCCTGTCCTTTCATAACCTTCCAGACCCTCTGTCTTATAAGCTTAATATGTAAGAATGTGATTCCAACCCCTCCCCAACAGGTGATCTCATTGTTGGGCAACCTCTCCTCTGCTGAACTAGTTCCTCAGGGCAGGGACCAGCCTTTTGTCTAGAGCAAGTATATGTCCGGGGTCAGGCACTTAAGTGATTGACCCTCTTTGGCAAGTCCTTTGCCCCCCCCCCCCATGCCTTGGATTTCCAGTTCAACCTGGAGGCAAACACACAAAAAGATGACAACTAGCTCCCCCCAACCCCCCATTTAAAATGCAGTTTGCAGCTTGGTAAAGATACCGGGAATGTGCCTAATCTTGCTCAAAGTCCTAAATTGGACAGACGGATTCCACGAAGTGTCACCGGTGCAAGGCTTAAGTAAACTGCCGTTTCAGAAGTGGGCAGGCTTAGATTATCACAGCACCTGAGTCACAGGTGAAATCTGTTCCAGTGACCTACACTGTGTCTTTCAACTGCTACGAGTCCCAGAGGAGCTGGTGTGGGACACGCCGCATGGTCTGAACCAGCAAACATGGCAGGGCATTTTCTAAGCATGAAATAGTAAAACTCAGGAGCCACTCACAGTTCTTCGTGGACAGGGGCACCGTCCAGCCAGGTCCACTTCCTTTGTGTCGAGTTAAATGTTAAGCCAATCCAAACAGCATGGTCAGCTGGTAGGACAGGCTGCAGGGAATTCTGCAATAGAAGCAGCTGGGTGAATGTATTGCTCTAGAAGTCTTTTATGTCTGCCCCAGCGTTAGCAGCACATGGAATTAGACAGACCCCGAGATGCTGCAGTGCAGAAAAACCTAACGGCAATAAACTGGCACAACACGCTGTGCTGGACAAAGTCACTCGACTTCTCTGGGCCTCAGTTTCCCCTTTGTGAAATGGGGATAATGAGCCTTTGTTTGACCGTCTGATCTATTTGGATAGTAAATTCTTTGGCTCAGGGACCATGTCTACCGATGGGCACAGCCAGCTCTCCATGGAATGAGGCCCCCATCCTCCCTGGGTCCACTAGTTGTGCTCCCTGAATGGAAATAGATAATGATGATGATGATGGTGACATTATTATTCATAATAGATCTGGAATCGTAGCTCTTTGAGCTGCTGACCTGTAAACAAAATATCTGTAACTCACTGCTGGGGTTGGAACCACATTCTTACCAGTTACCTTTTCATGGAGGTGCCCAGCAGGTCCTTAGATAATTATTGTAATTTGTGCTCTGGTAGAATTTAGGAACACAGGATTTGCCAGACGAGATCAGACCCTGGTCCATCTAGCCCAGTGCCCTGTCTCCCACAATGGCCGGCACTGGCTGCTTCAGAGGAAGGCGTAAGAACTCCGCAATAGCAGACACAGGACGATCTCACCCCACCCTGGTTCCCATCCTGATCTCTAGTAGATCGATTCTAGGTCTCTAACAGATCAATGGCTTCAGCCCTGCAGCGGGAGGTTTACTGTCCTGTACAAAGCTCTTCCAGCATTAACTGAGATCTCTGGATATTTATTATCCACATTAGCTTCCAATCTCTTTTTGACTTTTATTTTTGAGCCCCAATCAATTACCTGGGCCCATTGTGCTAGGTCATGCAGTGGTTCTCGAACTGGGGGTCAGGCGGGACCCCAAAGTGGGTTGCGACCCCATTTTAATGACTTGCTGTGGCCCGAGGGCTTCAGCCCGCAGCAGCCGTGCTCAGGCTCCGGCCCTCCCTATCTGGCCAGGGAGGGGGCACTTGGGCTTCATCTCCATCCCCACTCCCCCGCCCAGGGGCATGTATTAATTTTCGTTGTCAGAAGGGGGTCGCGGTGCAATGAAGTTTGAGAACCGCTGTATAGAGACACGTAACAAAGAGAACAGAGACGTGATGAACGGCTCTCTCTGTGCCCTGACATAAAATGTACGTTACCATCTGTTTCCGATCCTGGATCACCAGCATTTGAGATCCCTTCCTTGAACAGTCGTCATGGCTCATGCTCCAGCTGTCAGCCTCGTTCGAAAGCCAGTAGCACTTGTCCCCGTGCAGCACCCAGTCCCTGGGGCAGAGTTTGCACCTGGAGCCACCTGCAGGGGGCAGTGGGAAGAGGTGGAGATCATTAATGCTTCTGCAGCTTCTGAACACTGAGGGATTCTTTCAACTGCAGAGTCAGAGAAATCTCCTAGAGCTAATCCCTGCAGCCTTTCCTGGGGGCTGGCCTGTTCTCCCCTCCTGGCTAACCCACCCTCCTCCCAATTCCCTGAGCTGAAATCGGGTTATTTGTCAGTAAACCACTGCCGAGAAAGCATTAAAGACACAGCGCACTGCAGCAGAGGAAACAGAACAAGTCTTTAGTGCCTGGTGCTGCCAAATGGCAGGGATATGTTGAATAGGCCAGCGTGACACCCCCCATATCAGTCCTCAACAGCAATAGAACCACAGAGTTTGAACGCTAAAAGCACACCTCACTTGGACTAAAGAAGCAGCTCCCTTGGCTAGTAGCAGTAGTAGACTCCTATCCTTATATGTGGAACAGCCACTAGAGAGAGACACCCATAGCTCATAGTTCAGAAGTGGGATTTCATAACCTTCCAGACCCTCTGTCTTATAAGCTTAATAAGCTCACCGAACCAGTGAGTTATGCCATCAACGTGAATGCAGTTGGGACTCATACAGCACAGCGGTGAGTGGGTCAGACAGCAGTCCCTTTGCGATGCAGGTGTGAAGTGGGTCACAGTGAACTGCAGTTACCTGCTGAGCTTATCTGGGCCGGATCACACAGACTCTGCTTTAGACGAGAAAACAAGTCCTCCAGGCTGGCGTTGTGTTCTCCTCCACTTCCGGTTTGCTGAGTGACACCGTCGCTTTCCGCGGGGTTTCCTTTCGGACAGGGGCTCTGACAAACTTTGTAACAACATCCTGTAAAAGATAGTCCGGGATGGGAACATTGAGAGCACAGGGCTGTGATAGATCAGTGATAGAGGAGTGACACTGGCTTAGTTGACACACAGACTTGCGCAGTTTAACGTAATCAGTTTTTAAATTAGTGTAAAAGGCTTAAGAGTTGCTTATCTTGATTATGATTACATCTTTTAACACAATGTGGCCCCTATTGTGCGCGCAATTATACTGACACAGGAGTGTTTGTATCAGTTAATTCACAGCAACGTTTACACTTTTATATTGGTATAACTACATCCACATTAGGGCTTACACTGGTTCAGTACATTGGGTCCAAACATAACCCCAGACTCATCAGTGAAAAGGCACAGGTGAAAAATGGCCAAAGCCCACAATCTGTTTCCCTAGAAGCCGTTTATTTCACTCGATCACTGCATCAGTTACATCAGGGCACTCAGAGCAATTGGTTCAGGCTCTTTTCAGACTCAGGCAGTTATCCCTGCATTGATTATACCTGAGGCACTTCCCTTTCTCAGAGCAATTGGCTCTTTTGTAGACTAATTATAAAGCTTTAACTGTTAGAATTGCAACGTCTGCTGTCATTAAATAATTATTGTCTGCCCACTGTTGTCCTACCACCCCATAATTTCCCACAAATGTGAACATTTAAATAGATACAAATACAAAAATCTTAAAACCCATAATTTTGAAAGTTTAACTTGATAAAAATAGAAAAAAGTGTTTAAAATAAACACTGATATTCTTTGTTGAAATTATAAAAAAAATAATTGCAATCTGCCAAGCCTAGTTATACTGGTGCTTAGCTAGGGTGATAGAACCCTAGAAATCTACCTACAACAGATTGGATTTCATAGATTTAAAAGATTAGTTGGGATCCCGGACACTTACCCCAGGCGCCCAGTGCAATCACTAACGTCCGTATGATACAACAGGCCCCCAAAGCTCCTAGGGCGATTTTGTAACAACGGGCACTCGTAGGAGACCCTGGAAGATGAAAGATTTAGTGAAACATCATCGCTAATTAGTTAACTTCAGCAAAGTGCTTTGAATAGGAAAGATGCTAAAGCAGCAGTAAATGTTATTATCGGCCCTGAATCTTAGTTCCAAAATTCTCCCTGAGGCCAACCAGCATGTTGCCAGATGACACTGGAGATTGGGGTTTAATTCCTTGCCGGGCCACAGATTCCTTGCTTCATCCCAGGCAACTTCACTCAATCTCAGACACTGCGGTGATGAGCGCAGGGTTGGAACTGAGTAGAATCTCGGGTCTCATTGTCCACTATCCTCTCTTAGGCTGTAAATACTTTAGGGGCGGGACTTCTTTCTGGTTATGTCTGTACAGCACCTGGCACAAAAAGGTTCCGATCATGGATGGGGTCTCTAGGCGCTATTGAAAAACAAAGATGAAATAATAACAACAATAATAAATGCTACTGTCAGCTCCAGCGGCAGGTCGGTAAGACTGTCATTTTAAATTGAGATTTAAAAAATTAGTCTGCAAAATTATTTCAGCGGGAAATACTGGAAATCTGCAAACCTAACTCGGACCTGAAAAGAGGATTTCTTCAATACCAGAATAATAACTGCACATCTAGCACCAGCAATACCAGAGTCCAGACTCAAGTAACAATTTTTTCAGACTGAGCCTCTTTCTACTCCAAAGTATTGTCTGTACAGTCAGGGGAGATGCCCAAGGCCACAGATCCAGGATTAGAACCCAGATCTTTCACTCGCTAGACTACACAGCCTCTCATCTCCAGGGAAAATGCTTTCTACTCGTTCCTTCCTTGAAATCTCTGGCATAAAAACCCAGATCTCAATGGCGGTATGTCTCAAACTGAAGACATTCTATGTCAATACCTGGGCTTCCATCTGGAGATGGACAGGCTGAGTTTCCCCTCTTCGGCCGGAGGTTCAATACCGTGTAACCTTCGTCGTCCTCCATCTTCCCCAAACTCAACGGAACTGTATCTTCATCAAGCAAACAGACCAAAATGAGAATTAAGTGCCCACAAGAGTGAAACTGACCCACTGCAGCCTTTACGAGAAGTTTTCACAGCTTCTTGGGACTGTGAGACCACACAGGAAATTTAGATTTGTGGGTTGAAACATGCTGCCCAATTCTCAGGTCCAGCTGAGTGGTGCTCTCGTGTCAGACGTATTCAGTGCCCCTGTTTGTGGTTCAGAAACATTTTTGAACAGAAAGTGGCTTTTTTTCTAGTTGCAAATCTTCATGAGAAATGTTCATTTCTGCAAAAATGTTTGCGGTTATTTGACAAAAAAAGGTGCTTTTCTGCTTTTTTCCTTCCCCTTTCTCTCTCTTGTTTTATCTTTTTACCATTTTACCTCTGAAAAAGGAGGAAAAAGAGAAGGGGAGAAAGCTAGAGAAAGAGGGGGTAGAACTAAAACCTTTTCCCCTCTCTTATAAAAATATTATTATTATTTTGTAAAAAGATTTGGAAAAATATTTTTTTAAAATCTTCTGCAAACATGCCACCTTTGTGCCCTATGGACCCAGAGCCTGCCTTCCCAAGTGGTTTGCATTGGGCCAGTCACGACCCTGTAATCAGGGTGTTTCTCTAGTACAGGAACCAGGGGTCACCCAATGAAATTAATGGGCAGCAGGTTTAAAACAAACAAAAGGAAGTATTTCTTCACACAACACACTGTTAACCTGTGGAACTCCTTGCCAGAGGATGTTGTGAAGGCCAAGACTATATCAGGGTTCAAAAAAGAGCTAGATAAGTTCATGGAGGGTAGGTCCATCAATGGCTATTAGCCAGGAGAGGCAGGAATGGTGTCCCTAGCCTGTTTGCCAGAAGCTGAGAATGAGTGACAAGGGATGGATCACTTGATGATTCCCTGTTCTGTTCATTCCCTCTGGGACACCTGGCATTGGCCACTGTCAGAAGACAGGATACTGGGCCAGATGGACCTTGGGTCTGACCCAGTCTGGCCATTCTTATGTTCAGGTAAAGCCTCAAACCAGGTAGTGACTGTGGTCCAAGGCGCCATTATATCAGCTGGGGTTCACCAGATGCAGCATCTCTTGGGCCACATCTCCCCTGCCCCGGATCACCCTCAATGTCAAGGGGAATATAGAGACATCTACGCCAGCTCTGCCTATGGCACTGTTAGGAGTATCTCACAGTCTCTATTGTATGTCTCCTCACAACATCCCTGTGATGTAAGACGATGCCATTATCTCCATTTTACAGATTGGGAATGGAGACACAGAGAAGATAAGTGACTCACCCAAGGTTCCACAGGAAGCATGTGTCAGAGCAGGGAACTGAACACCGGTTCCTGAAGTTCTACACTAACAACTATTACCAGACCATTCTTCCTCTATGCCAGCCACTGGCTCCCCCACAACAAGGTTTCCTCAGCTGCACAGTGAGGGCAACTTGATGGACCCTTTGCGCTGTTGCAGTGGCACAAAGGGGCCATCTAGGGGGCTGAGAATCTGGCTCAGGTGATGTAGTCCTATGGATGTATGAATATGAGGCTGGAGATCTCAGCTCTTTCAGATGCAGGACGATTATAAGGCAGATAAAAAAAAAATATATAACCCCAGCCTTGTCAGTGAAAAGGAACAAGTGAAAAATAGCCCAAGCCCCCAATCTATTTCCACAGAACCTGTTTATTTCACTAGGTCACTGCATCAGTTGCATCAGGCGCCAGGCAGTTCCTGCTTCAGAGCGATTGGTTCAGGCTCTTTGCAAACTCAGGCAGGTATCCCTGCATCAGTTACACTGGAGGCACTTCTCCCTCTCAGAGCGATTGGCTCAGGCTCTCTGCGGGTTCAGGCAGACATTGCAGTGTTGGTTACACTTGGGGCAGTACCTCCCTCTCAGAGCAATTATCTCAGGCTCTTGCAGACTCAGGCAGACATGTCTCAGGCCACCTTTCTAAGCTTTTCTTCCCAACCATGAGAGTTTGAGATCTGCTTTAAAAAAAATGAAGGCTGAGATTCTGCTGTAATCACATGACTCCAGAAGCTGGGGCCCTAATCTTGGGCCTGTAGTTCCTAGGTCTTAATAATCCCCAATGGGTCATCCAGTTATCTCTCATATCTCCTCTGATCCAGCCCTCCCACCCTTCTTTCTCACTCGTTGTCCCATCCTGGGGCCCTATGTAGATCTCCCTCCCACAACAACATCCATGGCCTATACCATAAGTGCCGACTTACTCAGATCCCAGGGGGTGCTCGACCCCCGCTCTGCCCTAGGCCCCGCACCCACTCCACCCCTTCTCCCAAGCCCCCACCCTGTCCCACCTCTTCCCACCCCTGCCCCGCCTCTTTCTTCCCCCTCCCCCTGCATCTTCCTGTCCCTGCTCCTCCCCCTTCAGCACCTCCTGAACACCACTGAACATCTGATCCAAGGCAGGTGGGAGGCACTGGGGGGAGGGGGAGGCACTGATCTGTGGGGCTGCTGGAGGGTGCTAAGCACCCACTATTTTATCAGAGCACCCATGAAGTCAGCGCCTATGGCCTATACCACAATGGTTCTGTTTACCAAGAGGACGTAGAGTGCAGGGGGCCCTTTGCAAGGTGATTCTGAAACCAGAGCACTTTTTTGACACTTTTTGCAAACAGGCAGAACAACGGTGGCTTGAGATCACACAGGAAAAGAGTCAGTTGCTGGTCACTGCTGCATCTCATCACCTCGGCGGCTTCTGCGGTACAGATTTTCCATTAGACAAACAGGCCTGAAGCCGGAGAATTCGGGCCTGCCCTAAAAACAAATCCCTCCTGCTTAAAACAAAATCTGCAAGTTCACATGCATCTGAGGGTGTGGGGGGACCACGGGTTTCAGCAATACGTGGGACTAGTTCTATTCCATATAGGTTCTTATACCTTGCTCACCACCACAGCATCTGAGCACCTTCCAGTCGTGCATTAAGCAACGTGACTAACATCCGTCACACGTTTGTTCTCTCATCCTGTCCTTAGGGGGAAATGTGTGTGCAGTGGAGTCATGTATTTAATTTAGAGAAGGCAGCTCAAAGAAGTGTTCCTTGCCCTTGGAGCAGAAGGTGGGTGGCTTGGGAAGGTCCTTAGTTCTTGGGAGAATTCATGGCAGTCTGGAGACAGTTTCTGTCTCCTGCACAGGTGAGCGTTCCCCTTATTTTAGAGTCCGATTGGGCTGGAAGTCCAAAGTTATCCCCCATTGTTTTCACCCCAGAGGTTTAGATCCATTTGGAGATCCTGGGCCCAGGCCACGGAGCTCCTTGAAGATCAGGACCAGAAATGGCTTTGGCTTCCTAGAAGAATGGATCCAACTTTGTCAGTGAGGCACAGAGGAATCTGATCTTTAGGCTTTAAGGTGTGTTTGTGAATGAACTGAATGCTTCTAAGATAGGAGGGCCTCCTGGATCTGGCATAGTCTGCTGCTGGCCTGGGGTGTTTCAAACCATGATTGAATAGATTTGTAGATTTCAAGGCCAGAAGGGACCCTCATGACCATCTAGTTCTAGTCTGATCTCCTGGATCATAGGTACTGACTCCGTGGGTGCTCCAGGGTGGGGCCCAGGGCAGAGCTGGGGTTGAGCATTCCCCAGGAAATGACAAAGTTGGCACCTGTGTCCTGGATGTTATTAATTATCTATTGGCCCGTAGCACCTAGGAGCTTTAGTCATGGACCAGGCCCCCATTGTGCTAGGGGTGGCGCATTATTAGGTATATTATGGTAGCCTAGGTGTATTATGGTAGCACCTAGGAGCCCCAGGGTACATCTACACTGCAAAAAGAGACCTGCGGCTGTAAGTCTCAGAGCCCAGATTCACAGTGCTCGAGGTACAGGGTTAAAAATAGCAGTGTGGGTGTTTGGGCTCAGGCTGTAACAACCTGGGGTCTCAGAGCCCGGATTCCGTCCTGAGCCCGACGGTCTGCACGGCTATTTTTAGCCAGTCGTGCAAGCCCGAGTCAGTTGATCTAGGCTCTGTGACTCACTGGCGCTGTTTTTGTGTTTGCTGTGTACACATACCGCCAGTCGTGGAGGAGGGCCAGTTGTGTTAAGTGCTGTACAAACACAGATCCAAAAGATGGCCCCTGCCTCAAAGAGCTGAGAATCGAAGTGTAAGACAAGAGACAACTGATGGATACAGACAGACAGACGGGAGCACAAGGAAACAATGTGACGCTACAGGTCAGCATGACAGGCAGGGGTCCGAGTGCACTAGCAGCATTCCCGCATCAAGCCCATAACTTGTGCAAATATTAGCAGGCACTGAGAAGGGAAGACTTAACAAACAATAATGTTTAGGGCTGTTTATTTGCCTTCTGGCGTTGGAGCGTTTAGGCATCACGTCTTTAAGCTTTTCTCTCCAGTCATAAGGGCTAGAAAATTAGGGTTTTTTTCCAAATGAGAGTTGAGTTTCTTGAGGGGTAACATGTCTCCAGGAGTTGGGGCTTTAAGAAACACACCAAATATTGCACAATTAATTCATGAATTGGCAACACTGAGTATCTAAAATGTTATAGATTCTTAGATTATCAGGCCAGAGTGGGCTACCAGGAGCATCTAGTCTGACGTCCTACATCTCTCAGACTGTAAGATTTCCCCAAAATAATTCCTATTTGACTACAGCATTTTACAAGAACCATCCAGTCCTGATTTAAAAATCACCAGCGATGGAGAATCCACCATAGCCCTTTGGTAAATAGATCCAGTGTTAAAATTGTATACCTTATTTTCAGTCTGAATTTGTAAAGTTTCAACTTCCAACCATTGGATATTGTTTTGAGGGAGGTTGGGTGAAACTTCATTGAAACTGCTGGGCACAATAGCTGCATTCCATTTGGGATACATGTAAGAAGCAATTAAGCTTCTTCTTGGAATGAGATAGCTGAAACAATAGGAGCCACCACCCAAAACACAGGCCACATGCAAGGCCTCTCAGAAACTGAGCTATGTGTGTGGATGGGTTTTGGTGAGTGTTGGCCGATGGAGAGATGTGTCTGGGAGCAGGAACATGCAGAAGCAGACAGCAACAGCAGGACTGGAAATGTGTCCCTGAAAGCAAGCAAAGTGAGAGAGCTCTTTGGGCAGAGTGAGGGCCAAAAAGAGGCTTGGAACTGTGCATTAAGAAACTTCCTCCTGTTGTTTGATTCTTGTTGTGTTCTGGGAAAACAGGACATCGTGAACAGTCTATATAAATACAGAGGATTGAATCAAAGACATCCCTTGCTCTTCACCAGTCTCTCTTAACCGAAACAACCTGCAAGGCCTTGAATATTGGGTAACCACTCGGGCTAAAAGGGCTAGCAATCTCATCTGATTTGGCCGATTCCCCTACCGAGATTATTTAGCTCTGTTTTAGCATTTCTATGGAAATAGTGTAAAAACAATCGCTGTTTTCTATCTCCTTACCAGAAAAGGTCAAAACCACAGATATCCGGCTGGTAGCTGAGTTGCTGCGCAGAGGAGGAGGCTGGGTTTGCTGCAATGGATGAAAAATTCAGCTCCTGTTTTTTGTTCATCTGTTTTTGCAACCAACTGGTCAATAATCAGTCAAGAGGTTGGCAAGCTGTTCTGAGAAAAGGTGGTCTCCAGTGGTTAGCGCATGAGCCTGGAACGGGGACAACCAGTGTTCAAGTCCTTTCTCTGCTATGGTAACTCATTTGGTGTCTCTGTGCCTCAAGGTCCCCAGCTGTGAAATAGGGCTCATAGTATATCCCAGTTTCAGAGGGGCATAAAATGATTATGAGGGGCTCAGATACTATAGTGATGGGACCATTAAGATACACAGATGGGACGCTGCAGATCATTTACCCATTGGGGATGTCCTGGGAACCTGATCATTTAACTTTCTGGCTGTTATGACCAGAAATTTGCATCCCAAGTTAAAGTCACCACCTCATAATGCAGCAGGGGGCATTGCCATAGAGAAAGGGAAAGGAGAATTCACCAATGCTATTCCATCTATACCCACCAATGCAAGAATTTGACGCTTCCAATTCTGTGGGGGAAAAGGGTAGGTGGCCACATCTAGATTCAAGATGGCCGCCCCCACTGGCGCTAATTCCCACTGAAAACTTTATCGCCGCATCCATTTCTTGCCTCTTCACCATTCCGAGCTGCTTCTGCCAACACAGCATAGGGCACGCCAGCTAACGCGTCAGTGTGTTTATTGTAAGCCCAGTCGCCCAAGTTCCTCCGGGTCTGTAGCATTTAAAGTTCACCTTGGTTGAGAATGTTCAGCCAGCAACCTTAATTTATGAGGGAAGACCACAGAGCAGCAATAAGAAGAACAGGAGTACTTGTGGCACCTTAGAGACTAACAAATTTATTAGAGCATAAGCTTTCGTGGACTACAGCCCACTTCTTCGGATGCATATAGAATGGAACATATATTGAGGAGATATATATACACACATACAGAGAGCATAAACAGGTGGGAGTTGTCTTAAAATTCAGCCCCCCCCCACCTCCCCGAATGACGCTACTTCCTGATGTTGGGTGTGTCGGCTGGCTTACTTCATACATAAATAGACACTTGTCCTTGCATAACACTATTGGCTGGGTGGTTTTGCCTCCTCCGGTACATGCCATGGCTGGGGACGTAGTGTATGCTGATTTAAACCTTGCTGGGGCCAGGCTATCACCTTCATCTAAAGCTCACAGTAAGTAGGGGTTGACTGCCTAGTTTGCTGTCAAAATTGGGAGGATTTTAGTTGGGATCTCAGTTTTCTAATAGCTGGTGAGTGCGAAGAGACATTTGGAGTAGCAGTAGACTCTTGTAACTCTTTTGGGAAAGATACAGGGTAACAAAAGTACTTAAGGGACATTGGGCTAGATTTTTAAAGCTAAGGGAATTTTCAAAAGCACCTGGACTCCTGCCGCCCATTAATTTCAATGGGTCTTAAAAGCACCTAGTTGCTTTTGAATATCCCACTAGGCTCCTAAATACCTTTAAAAATTTGGTCCTTAGAGACCAAAGTCTTGTTGATTTTTAATTCGATTTAGATGCCTCTCTCTCTTAGGCACTATTGAAAACTTCACCCAGTTTATTTGCAGGCTACTTGTAGGTTTGTTGTTTCTCTCTCATAGACAGTCTCTGTTTGTTCGTTCTGTGTTGTTTTCCTGCATCTCAGATAGAAGTGATCTAGGCGGAGGGTGCATGTTTTGCTCTTTGGGTATGAAAAACTTGACCATTGAGTTGGTCGGCTTGATGTAGTTTCTGGAAGGAAAGCTGGCCTTGTGCCTAAGACACTGGAGTAGGACTTGAGAAGAGACCTGTGTTCTCCCACAGACTTCCTGTACAACCTGCGCAAGGCACTTATGGTAAAGTTTTCAAAAATGCCAATAAATCGGATTTTCAAAGTGACTTAGGAGCCAAGTCCCACAATAAGGCTTAAGCTCCTAAGTCACTTTGAAAGTCAACAGGACTTGGACTCCAAAGCCATTTAGGCTCCTGCAAAAACTTTTACCCTTCATCTCTCTCTGCCTCAGTTTCTTCATCTGTAAAATGGGAGGGATTGACAAGACATAATGGTCAAGACATAACAGGTAGATGAGAAAGAAGCAGGTTGGGGATGGGGTAGTAACATTACTACGGGGTAGTAATAAAGACACTATAGGATTTAAACAGAGTAACTGATACTATGTGGGGTAATTGAAACTGCAACCAATGGGGGCTATGTAAGCACCTCGTTAGCCAGGTCTGTAATCGTTGTGCGAGCTCTCAGAAGACAAAATAATCAGGTAACTACCCAATTTCCTCACATTTAATCAAACAGGGAATCTCCAAGAATCCCCTCAGTGCCCGCGCTGGCATGGGGTCGTTCTGAAGGTCGGGTGCGCCGGGGTCATCGTCCTGCTGGTGATGGTAGCCGGGCTGAGTGCTTGGGGTGAGTCGCTCCAGGCCATTTATTCAGCTGTGTGAGTCTCCTGTAGGCAAAATGCACCACATTGAAGTCAATGGGGCTATTCGTTTGAGTAAAGGCACGTCTGTTTGTAAAGATCAAAGCCCCTAATGTTATTTTAACTGATGATTTTTTGTAGGGACAATAAGTGCGTGCCATGCGTGTGATGCAGTGGCTGTCGCCCAGAGAGCTAGCTTAGTCTTTTCTTATATTCAGCAATAATGCAAGGAACCTACAGGCCCGTATCCTGTCAGACATGAGCTGAAGTAAGTTAGCATAAGTATAGTCGAGTAGAGTCGGCCTGTGGCGCTTGGCATGGATGAATGGGGAACTAGGAACAGCTTGCACAATAGCCGGAGTTGGAACCTAACAGAACACTGAAGTGATACTGGGCTGGGATATTTTAGGATAGACTCATGGGCAGATGTTCAACCACAAACTTGCTTGAGCAATAGGGGACATATAGGATAATGAGTTAAATGGCGTTAATAGGTTAAACTATAGGATAAGGGCACCCCAATATTATGAGGGTGAGGAAGTTAGAGTTGGACATGGAAGGCTAACTGATAGTGCTCCGGCTCTGTGTGATGGGGCCACTCACCTCTCGTGAGCACCCATGCCAGCTGGGTGTGTATGCACCTGCACTCTCTGTTTCACATTACCCGTGGTAGCTTCTCACGGCGCGCTCTGTAACGTCTCGGTCTGGCGCCCTGTCTCTGGGCTCAGTGAGTCTAACAGGGCCTATCGCAGTACCTTGATTAGCCTTGGCTTCTCCTGGGCTAATTTCCAGTGGTACCTGCTCTGTTACGGAGAGTGCACCAGGACCCCTACCTCTTTGCTCCATAGAGAGCTCTCCTGACCCCAGCTTTCCAGCTGAGTCACTAGTTAAGTGGTGCCACAGGACTCTCTGTTGGTAGTTAAGTGGGGTTAACACAATTCAATTAAATGCTGACACCTCCCTGTGCCTCAGTTTCCCCTCTATTGTGTGATCTTGAGCATCTAATTTCCCCTCTTTCTGCCTCCCTTCCCCTCCTATCCTCTGTCTGTCTGGTCTATTTACTGTCAGGTGTTCGAGGCAGAGGCTGTATCTGCACTGCCTAGCACAGCAGAGCGCTACTCTCCCTCCGAGTGCTACTTTACACAAATAATGCGTTTTCTTGTTCAGCTGGAAATCCGTTCTGTCTGCCAGGTGAACTGTGTGATAGGTCCTCATCCCCAACAGCAGGGCAAAGTGTTACACGGACCAGGCGCAGCTGTGGGCTTGACGCATTAATCTCGCATCGTCTGCTATAATGAAGGAGGCTTTCTCCAGAGCAGATCAAAACATTTTTAATACAGAAAGGACTTTTTCAAACCCAATTTTTTTCCCCTTCTTTAAAAACTTATGGATGAAATTGAAAACAAAACAAAAAATAGCCTTTTTTCTCCCCATTTTTGGGTTGTTTGGGTTCCCCCCCTTTTATTCTTTTTCATTTATCCATTTGCTGATTCTTTTCATGACATTTTTCAGATTATTTTTTCTGCCGTTTTTAGTTTATCATTTTTATCCTGGTGTTTTCCATCTTTCCTCTTTAACCTTTTTTCTTTCCTTTTTCCAATCCCTCTCAAATAATGCCCTGGGTTGTTGTGGGTTTTGGGGTTGTTGTTTTTTGCATTTTTTGATTCTTTGCACTTTGCAACTTTGGAAAACGTACGGGGTGGCAAACGGAAAAATGAGAAAACCGTGGCCAGGGTTCATTTTGTTGCATTCTGTGGCAAAATGGGGGAAAAGGCAAAAGAGGGAAGGAGAAAAAATGATAAAAAAAATGGGAGGACAATAAAAATTTGAAAAGAAACATTTTCATGGAAAACATTCAAAAAATGAAAAATTGTTTCATTTGGAAACCTGGAGAACAAATCTAACTTTGATGTTGTTGTTTTTTTTTCATTTTTCAACCAGCTGCTTTCTCTCCAATCCCCTTTTCTTTCAGCTCCCTGTAAATCTACAGGGATAAGCTGTGCACCTTTACACCAGCATCACTATAGCCACACTGGGGAGTTTGAACCACTTTAACTAGGGCAGTTTCTAACCCAGTATAACAACTGCATGTAGAGTGACACTGTGTTCCCCACTACTGAGCAACTTTAATTTAGAAGAGTGCTCCTAGCCTAGTTTTTCGAAGGGGAAACTGAGGCCTAGAGGGACTGAATCACAGAATCATAGAATATCAGGGTTGGAAGAGACCTCAGGAGGTCATCTAGTCCAACCCCCTGCTCAAAGCAGGACCAAGATCAACTAAATCATCCCAGCCAGGGCTTTGTCAAGCTGGGCCTTAAAAACCTCTAAGGAAGGAGATTCCACCACCTCCCTAGGGAACCCATTCCAGTGCTTCACCACCCTCCTAATGAAATAGTGTTTCCTAATATCCAACCTAGACCTCCCCTATTGCAACTTGAGACCATTGCTCCTTGTTCTGTCATCTGCCACCACTGGGAACAGTCTAGATCCATCCTCTTTGGAACCGCCCTTCAGGTAGTTGAAGGCTGCTATCAAATCCCTCCTCACTTTTCTCTTCTGCAGACTAAATAAGCCCAGTTGCCTCAGCCTCTCCTCGTAAGTCATGTGTCCCAGCCCCCTAATAATTTTCGTTGCCCTCCGCTAAACTCTCTCCAATTTGTCCACATCCTTTCTGTAATGGGGGGACCAAAACTGGACGCAATACTCCAGGTGTGGCCTCACCAGTGCCGAATAGAGAGGAATAATCACTTCCCTCGATCTGCTGGCAATGCTCCTACTAATACAGCCCAATATGTGTTGGCCTTCTTGGCAACAAGGACACCCTGCTGACTCATATCCAGCTTCTCATCCACGGTAATCCCCAGGTCCTTTTCTGCAGAACTGCCGCTTAGCCAGTCGGTCCCCAGCCTGTTGCAGTGCATGGGCACAGTGACTGGCGCAGTGTCATGACCCGCACATATTGTCAAAGAGGAAGTCTGCGGTAGAGGAAAGAAACAAACCCAGCTGAAACACCTTGAGTACCAGTTGTGCCACCTTTCCTCTTCGGAAGCCAGTGTAATTATTTTAGGTCTAATCTCTGGTGAACACTCTTATTTCAGTTTCAGTGGTAGCCGTGTTAGTCTGTATCAGCACAAAAAACAAAACAAAACCACAAGGACTCCTTGTGGCACCTTAGAGACTAACAAATGTATTTGATTATTGTTTAACAAATTTATTTATTTATTGCCCAAATAAAGTTGTTAGTCTCTAAAGTGCCACAAGGACTCTTCATTTTTTTT